ACTCTTTGGCGGCAGAAGGCCCCAATTTTTCTCCATTTCTTTTTTTTTGGCTCTTTTTTTTGGCTCTTTTTTTTTTACGTCGCGCGTTTGCGTGCGCGTGTGCGGCGTCGACCGCTCATACCGGTCTCTTTTCTTCTTCTCCCCTGAATTCATCTGCCCCGCACATGTCATCGTTTTATCCCCCATTCGGGTATTTTGTCTCCATGCTGCTCTCCGCCCACGCAGGCGCACGCGCACACGCCCCACAACCTTCACAGCCCCCGGCTACCGCCTCGATCGCACTGCAGACGCAATTAGCGAGGCGCAAGCAGGAACCAAGAAGAAAGCGATGGACGACGCAAAGGGGCAAATGAAAGACAATAAAAGAAAGAAATGGTACTTAAGAATCAATAATAGCAAAAGACAACATATACGTATACATACATACATACATACATACACATATAATATTTATATATGGTGCGTGGGAAGGAGAAAAAGTGATGTAGCGTATATACAGTTATATATATATATATATACATATACAAATATAGAATAATATTATATATAGATGAAGAAGGAAAAAAAAAAAGAGGAAGACAAAACAGACTGGTGTGTATATAGATATACGGCAAAACGTCTGAAAGCAATGGTAAAAGAGGAGGCCCATCGTGTGTGTGTGTTTGTTTTTTTTTGTGTGTGTGCGCAGAAAAGCGGGGGAGTGGGGGGAGAAGGGGAAAAAGGGGGTTTCCTACCAGAACGAGTGCCTCATTGCACCAACCGGATGCAGTGGCACAGAAGTGAAAGCAACAACAACAAAAACAAAAACAACAACAACAGCAAAGACGATGTACAAAGCGAGGGCACAAGTCCGTCAGCCTCTTTTTTTCCCGCATGTGTGGCTTGTGGTCCTTCCTTGTTCTCCCCCTTTGCCTTCAGTCCCCCCGCCCCCTGGATGGATGCCGCCCCTCACCACGCCTTCACTCCGAACGCCAGACAAGCAGAAGACGGCGTGAAGCACAAACGCCCTTCTTGATAAGCAAACATCAACGGAAAAATCCATGAAAAATAAATGAAAAAAGAAAAAAAAAAAACAAAAAAAATAGGAAAAAAAATTAAGGGTAACAGAGCAATTGGAAAAATAGTTACACCTTTCTCTTCAGCCCCCCATCCGGGCCCGCGAAAGGCTATATGGGTCGTGCCTCCACTTGGCTCCACTGCAGTGGCGGTAGCTTGTCGACAGACTCATGGAAGAGGTACTGGCCCCCTCGTCTCGGCTGGATGCGGCCATGGAATCGGACATCGTCCCTCGCGTAAAGAAGGGCGACCTCCGGCAGTCCTCAGCGAGGTTTCCACTTCGCAACTCGGGTGTAGACTCTATCGCGCTTCCTGAAGTTCCCTCAGAGTAGCAGAGGCCATCGCACGAGACAAGAACACGTGAAGACTTCCGTAGGACGTCCAACCTGTGCTTCTGCTGGCGAATATCACTGTAGCCCAAGGAACACCGTGTGGATACTGTGGCTGACATGGTAGGAGTTTCCTTTGTTGACGCCTCACAGCTCTGGCCAAACGAACTTGAATCACGCAAAGGCTTCATCCACGCAGCATTCTCACCATTCGGGCACAATGAGTTTGCCAGTGAACTATGTCCACTTGCAACACCTCTTTGAACCAGTGGAAATCCTCGCACAGACGACGGACATGCACGCGACGCCTCAGCAAACCCCGTGGAAGGTGACAAGGACACCGTGTGTGACATGTGTTGGCCAAGCGGCTCAGACACTTTGTACGCAGATTCCTTTTGTGCAGCCTTCAGGCGTGATCGGCGGCCAAGTGGGAGTTGTGGGTCCCGTGCCGCAACCTCCTTGCACACATGCAGAAAACTGCACTCCTCCGCGAAGCGGCAGCGCTCCTTGACATGAAGGCGACAAATGGGTATGTCTCCTGCCTCAAGAACAACGAGTGGGGGCCCTTCCAGTGGTGCACAGCCTTCCTGTAGGGCCTGTCTGTAAGAATCAAGCGCACGAACACTGTCGGGACTCAGCTCATTTAGCATCTTGGAAATGGGCACAGTGTAACCAATGCGGCTCAACGGAACGTAGCCGCCTTCATATGTACTTTCGGGAATGTGCACCACCACATTCGCTAGCCATGAGCCCTCATTCAGCACACCAGCAATGTCCTCGTCACCGTGGAATGAGCAACACCACGGAAGACTTCCCACTTGACTTCGCAGTGCCACAACCGCATCCACGCTCGCGTGAACCTGGTGGCACTGCGGGCCTTGACGACACCGACCTTGAAGGAACAACTGGCACAGGCTTGGAATTGTGGCACGCTGCTGCGCCCGGGTGGGGTATATGCAGTTGCAGGGGATCAAAAGCTTTCGGGTAGCAGGGTCAACCACCACCATGCAAAGCGTCCCCTCCGCATTGTAGGTGTGGCCATCCTTGGCTTCAATTAAGGGAGCCAAAAACTGCATGTTTAACGGCCTGGTAACTCTTTTCTCAATGCAGAGTGATAAATGTTTCACAGACGCTGTACAGGTAGATATATATACTCTTTTTCACTTTGCACTGCAGTGGATGCCCAAGCAGAATTAAGAGTGGTCCTTTTGTGCACGTCGCGTTCCTCTTTTTCCTAGCACACACGATGGAGGGGGGAAAAAAACACAGGTGTAGAAGAAGAGCGCCAGGGCAAAGAGAGACAAACAACCAAGCAAAAAAAACAAACAAACAAACACGGAATGCGAGACCACAGGCTAAGCTTGAAAGCAATGCAGACTCATATCAATATACAATGGACAATAAGCGAAAGAGGGGAGGTCCGACACCCACAAAATCATACATTCAAGTTTAACCTATCCCTCCATTTAACTTTTACCACTCCTTTTCTCTTTTCACAGCAGAATATCATATATATATATAATATGTATATGGGTCCGAGATTGGTTGTTCCCATCGTACTAGCCGTAACCCCGTCCAACCAAATGGCATCCTTCTTACTTCCCTCATTCGTGTGGGTTGGGCGTATATACTCTGTTTCGAGGTGCCCTCTCATGGACCTTTTTGCTCTGTTTTTCCCCCACCCAAGAGCCCTTGTTTCTTAAAGACTTCCAAAACTGCTTCCATTTGTTTTGCTCACTCACCCGTGTGTCAACACCTATGGTCTGTGCCCGTACGTTTCATCCGTCAACGGGGCCCGGGGCATCTCCCCACGGGTGGTGCACCGCCGACACCCTCTCTTCAAAGGCTGCCGCCTCGTTAGAGAGAGGCCCAATTCATTACTGTGTCCTCGGCCCGGCTGTGTAACGCGTGCGCCATCCACGACGGGGTGGGTGCCGTCAGCGTGATCGCCCAGGCGCGGGCCAGTCGATGGTCGAACGCCAATTGAAGACGCCTTCAGATCACTTCAGCCGCTTTGAAGTCCCGGCGGCGGCGGCGGCCCACTCCACCCCGGAAAGTGTGGGGGATGCCGCGGGCAGCGTGCGATGCATTGTGCCCCACACGCAAACGGGCTTGACCTTCCAAGAAAATGCGCCTTGCGAGGAACTACACGTAATGAGGCATCAGAGCGAAAAAAGTGGCAATGGGGTATTTTTGCAGAGGCACGCCACGCCAGACAGTTCCCCTACCGCAGGACCCCCTCAAAATAAAAACAACAACAAAAAAAAACAGTCCTGAGGATTAAGTGAATTAAGTATTGCTGCTCCTCTCTTCTCGCCACATGTTCCCTCCCTCCGTTTTCCGCCACTGCCAGACGCTCGCCAAGAAGAGGAAAAAAAACAAACAAACAAACAAACAAACAAAAAAAAACAAGACAGTCAAAATAAAAATAAAACAACAATAAATAAAAATAAAGAAACGAGAGAGGCAAAAAAGAAGTTGCACTAATTCTTCGGAGCGACGACAGCAGCGGCAGTATGGACAAAAACAAACCCTTGGGTGAAGTCTCTGCTCTCCGCTGATGGGAGGGAGGGAGGGAGGGAGGGAAAGATGGAGAAGCATGTGGAGAGCAAGTGACAAACCCA